AACGAGTCTTCACGCTTCATTATGCCGTTTGTTTCCCATTTAAGAAGGGGACATTAAAGCTTTCCCCAAATTTACTTTTTTCCTATGTCATGTAATAGCCTGTTTACTAGGTGACAGTGTTACAAAATGGGGATGGGGACGTGGATAGTAAGAGATACAGGGCTTTGGAAACGACTGAATACCCAAAAAGTTTCAAACCCATCTTCCAACTTGACAAACACACTAATTTACTCCAAAAATCATTATTTATTGCCAGTATTATCTTACAAAACTGATAACAAGGACATATAGTCCACATCTGGACAAATTTAAATCAAACTCACATATTTAAATATTTTTGAACAACCTATGATTATGCAAAGAGTTATCCCCGAAGATTAAATGAGCTAAAGCATTCAAGACCACTTGGGAAAGGCCTGGTAAACAAAATATTACTACTCAACACTGACTAGTACTAGTTTTCCCAGTGTCCAAATTTCAAACTAAAAGGTTCCAAAATCATGTCTGTACATGAAAACTAACATATAAAACACCCTGAATAAAGCTGGTATTTTTACTATACCAAATAATGGTCTTAATCTAATGAAAGATGAGATTAATTGTACCAGATAATCCTTAAAGGCCAGAAAACTTGCTTCGGGTACTGCTACCTCTTCTCTCTACTCATCGATTAGGAATATAACCTCTACACGGTCTCGTGTGAATTACACTTTGCAGTCAACGGATACCAGAGAGCTTGCTCAAAGCGAATAGTTAAGCAGGTGGACGAGTGGCCCCTTACTTTGAAGGCGGCACCAACCCTTGAAATCTGATCGCCTCAATACTGATCTGAAATCCTACAGAAAACCAGGACCTGTCTCGTGCTGGAAAACACATTTTTCAAGTCACTAAACACATCTTCTTTACATATCCAAAAGTCACTTAAACTAGCAACGCCAAGGCATCCTGGCCACATCTGTCTTCAAAACACTCCACGATCTCGGCCACGCGCCGTCTACCGTGCTCGAGGTCTGCGGAGGAGCGGAAGGTCGGCCTTCCTCAAGCCGCCCGGCCCTCCGCGTTCGGCCCCGCGCCCCAGCCGAGCCGGCCCGACCCGCGGCTCCCGGC